GTACAGGAAAGGAGGAAGTTGATCGAGGTTCCACAGGGGCGGGACTTGGAAGGGTTAATACAGGCTATGCTGGTGCCATTCATCATTTCATAATGATAATAATGATAATTTTATAAATGAAACTTCCATATTTAGCACCCCCGTCAGGTCAGAATTTCTACTTGTGTAAGAAATGACAAAAAGTGTCCTCAGAGAGCACATTCATCCTCTGAACAGCATGGAAGCATATTTGTGCCATAAAAAGGATGAACACTCTTGATTTTACCACACATATATTGGCAATGTTTTTATTTTCTTTTATTAATATTTTTTTAAAACTTAACTTAGCCATGCAAGCCACAAAATAAAAGTTTACTTTCCTTAAAAAGACACCAAACCAAGGCTATTGGGTTCAGTTGAGACAGGCAATTTTAAACGTGGAAATGTCAACAGCCTGAGGTCCAAAAACTGTGGAACGGTCATCAGATTTAATTACAATAAGTACACCAAGGAACAACAGGCCTCATGTAAGAAACAAACTAGTGTGGCACGTACCAGTGATTCACCAGTTTATTTAGTATTTTTTCTAAAGTATGAATGAAATGCAGGAGTGGGAAAGACATAAAGAAATGGTAAGCTTTCCTCCACATGGGGAGAAGCACTCGTTTGATTTAAGAATAGAAATGCCATGTAAAATGATTATTCTGTGCAGTCTATCAGTTTGACAGCAGGCTATTGTACCTGAAGCAAACCAAAGAGAATGAAAGTAAGAGAAATATGGCAGTGTTCTTATATGAGACCCATTGTGTTTTCAGAGTTGTTGCTGTTTGTTCAGTGTGTGTATGGATGGGATGGCAGTGGGGACAGAACTACGCTACAGAAAGAGCTCGGCTACCTCTCAAAACTACCACATCATCATCATCACCCAGGTATTTATTGCAGCAAAAACGCCCAAAAGAGACCCAAAAGCACAGGTTAGTCCACTGGAGGTGGTCATTCTGTTCTAAATGAACACATCACTGTACATACTGGAGCTAAAATATCACCTTTTTACAAACACAAGCTTTAACAAACCATCAGTAAGAATGTGTCCGTTCAGCTATGATCAGGATTTCAGGAGTTCAATTTTTCAGTGTGGTGGCCAAAATGTATATTCCAACAATAACTGTGATGGCAGCAATATTATTATTTTGAGATAAAGAGCTTATTTGTTTTCTTGTTGAGAGTTAGATGATAATATTGATACCACTCCCATGTTTGTGCAATGTATCTACAGCCAGCAGATGGTTAGCTTAGCATAAAGACTAGGCACAGAGAGAAACTGCTAGCCTGGCTCTGACCAAAGGTAACACTATCCACCTACCAACGCCTCTGAAACTCACAATGTAACAATCAAATAAAATGACACATTGTGTTTTTGATGTGGGTCTAGGCTAGGATTAGTCACTGTTAAGTTGCCAGGCAACCAGTGGTTGCTGGAGTTGCTGGAAGGCTAGCTGTTTACTCATGTAGTGTAGGCTTAGCTTTCCCTGTTAGCATAAATCAGGTTTTTGTTACATCATAGCAAGCAAACTAAAGTTTTAGGAATAGTTCAACAGTCTTGGCCAACAGCAGCTGGGTGCAGTGAAGGAACGGCCCCTAAAACCACAAACTGTCATGTTTGTATACAAATTAAACATGTTTATGAATGAGCTTTACTGTTGGTAGGTATATATTTTTAACTTTTTCCTCATAAAGGCTGTTAACGATTATGCTAGCTAATTGCCGGCTCCATATTTAATAGGACTATGAATATAGTTTCCCAGCAACGTGGAAAAAGTTAAAATCTTTACATAATCTTAGAGAAAAAGACGCGAAGTTCTATCAAGTTAGGTAATGTAAATGACAAAACAGTATCAAGCAACTCATTTTCCTTCACTGGCTTTCCACTGGACGTGCAGGCACAGAGGATGCAGAGTAATTGGCGCTATACAAATAAAATTGAATTGAACACTGAATTGAATTAATGGTTTCCTAAAGGCGCCCTGAGCCACTCTGGGAAGCAGCTTGGTGCACAAGGCTTTTGGCACTGACACTCATGGCAATACGTCCCTTTGGGTATTTACTAATATTTCAATTTGACCTAAATATGTATCTGTTGTGATTGTACAGTGCTGTCACATCATCTCATGCGTCCATGCAGCTGTGCCAATATGGGATAGTGCCTGATTGTATGCCACTCCTTTTAGGCCCTGTTTACATGCTGGTTTTTGCATAAAACATAAACTTTTGTTGTGGTTTGGCTTTCATTTCTGTTTTGGAGGCTTAAAAACACAATCTTTTGAAACGCTACCCTAACCCACAAAATTTCACTGGGTACCTATGACGCAGTTTTGGTACGTAAGCACCGAGAGTGTTTTTAGAAGCGTCTTCAAAGCATCTTGCCTGCCATTCGATGTTTACTTGCTTCTTTTGTCCTTAAAAAAGGATACAAAACGTTGTCATTCCACTTCATATCTCCTCTGACTGACTGACTTCTGAACTGGTGCCACCATGATGATATAGCAAATTCAATCCAGAGTCTGCACCCAGTGTTTTACTTTGAAAATTGCCCAGATTCTCGATGCTGTTTCTGTCTCTGTGCTGCTTGTTGTGAGTGGGTCATGGCTTCTGTCAAAAGTAGACCAGCCATGTATTCTATGTGGAGCAGAGTGGAGAGACTCACTCTGAATCACATGAATTGTCTAGAACGGCCGCGATTAGCTCCAGCAGCCTGGTTTGAAATTTTTGGGGATCAACCATTCGGTATATGATTTTAGGATTTGCCCAAAAATTCCACCAGCGCTTTCGCTGGAGCTAATCGCGGAGTCACCAAAATAGTCAGTTTTCAAGTGCGCGTTGGCCACCTTCTCTTCCTGTTTACACTCACTGTGCTGTAGAAGAAAGCGTTTGTATGCTGACGCGTGGTGTTGAGTTGCAAAGTTACTCCATCACCTATTTAACTTTTTTAAAACAAAGGAAAAACGTTTCCATTTTTAGAAAAACCGTTGTCATGTAAACACAACTTAAGTGTTTTAGTGTTATATGGTGATTTTCTTTGATTTTCCTACACTTGCTGTACAGGACTAAATTAGCTACCAATAGCCTCACTGGGTGAGCTGTTGAAAAGCACGGTGTTTATCTCATCAGTGACGGCTACCTTCAAGGAGTGCTTGTCTTCCAGTATAATGTTATGGCATAAACTACCAATTTATACTTACAGACAGCACAGTATCTAAAGTTAAATGTGGCTTGTGGCAGAATTGGAACATGCCACTTTTATGTCCCATATGCCAGCAGAGCAGCATGCGGCATGCTGATTATCGAAGTGACTATGACCCTACAACTACTGACAATTTGTCAGCCACTCTTCCATCTCAGCGTCACTCTGTGTTTGACTCATCTTGTGCTGAACTTAAGCCTACATTGCTGCTAAGAGGAGCACAGAGACTAGCTCATTATGTCATTACGTAACAGGACTTAACATACTGTAATAAAAAATGTATCAAGAACTCATCATTTAGTAAAGACCTATCTTGCAGTAAAATGCTGGATAGAAAATGTCATCCTTGTACAGAGATAGTCCTTTGTACAATCATGTATCTTTGATTTGATCAATTTGATAGTTGATATATTTGTTAAATGTTAAAACCCTGTTTGGTGAGACAAACAGTATCCAGCATTTTATTACAACATGAGTTTGACCGTCATCCATTCTGCACTGTTACAGCTGTAGTTAATTGCACTGGTAGGAGAGTGGAGTAGACGAGTGACAGTGGGTGAATCCAAAACCTCGACCTAAATGTGTCCGTCAGTGCTCATCTTCAGTTCAACAAGGCTGGCACACACTGTACACAGATCCACAGAAATCAAGAGTAGATGAAGCAGTGTGAGTGAATGAGTGCGTGTGCCTGTGCATCTAGATTCTGGTTATTGTGCCTCTTTTGGTCTTTTCTGCAGGACAAGAGATTGTGTGTGTCTTACATCCACAAACAGTTAAGTTCCTCATCTTCATCAGAACTTCCTGATAATTTAGCCTCTGGCCTCTTCCTTTTTTTTAGTTCCATCTCTTCAGTTCCTCGCAGATGTTACTTCTTGTCGCTGTTTTGAAATATTTGTTCGTAGGGTGGAGGTGGGTGATTGCAGTAGGACGGAGGTGGAGGATAGGAGCCCATCATCATGTGTGCAGAGCCAGGCTGTGCCGGATACGGCGGGTGTGTCATGGTAACCCCTGGGTCACCACCTGTCATCCCATTCACGCCGAAGCCCTGCATACTTCCTGGTTGCTGGGAAACTGGAAAGAAGAAGAGACAGTTATCGTTTAGTATCAGTTGACCCTTCCTAAGTGCCCCCCCCTCTTTTTGCTCTGTGCTCCAATACCGATATCTGTAGCAAGATATCACATTAGCAGCAGATCCTGTCCTGTAAGTTGTAAGGTGGGGCCTCCATAGACCGGACTTTATTGTACAGCACATCCCACAGATGTTCAGTTGGATTAAGATCTGGAGAATTTAGAGTCAACACTTTGAACTTGTTGTTGTGTTCCTCAAACCATTCCTGAACCATTTTTGTTTTGCGGCAGGGCCCATTATCCTGCTGAAGAGGCCACTGCCATCAGGGAATACCGTTTCCATGAAAGACTGTACATGGTCTGTAACAATGCTTAGTCAGGTGGTACGTGTCAAAGTAACATCCACATGAAGGACAGGACCCAAGGTTTCCCAGCACTGCCCAACACATCACAGTGCCTCTGCCGGCTTGCCTTCTTTCCACAGTTCCCCAAGCTCAGATTAATTTGAATGAAACCCTTCAATTGTTTTGATTGGTGGACTCTGACGGACTACAGGAATTTAAATAATGGAGGAATGGACACAACGTACGATTATGACCACTTCAGAGGTTTTTTTCCCGTCTCTCTTGTTTACACTGTGTAAGTCCGAATGAATTATACTTTGGTGTTCATAGTTTCCGTAAAATGATCTGAAGGGTTAAACTGTGGAGAATCTAACTGATCCAACGATGTGCAGCATCCATACTGACAAAAGTTTAAACGTTTATATTTGTGTTGGAGATCTAAGCAGCTCAGAACTCGCTCAAGCGGGGAACCCGGGGGCTTTAAGAGGTTCAATACTCATATGACATGCTAATAGCATGTGCATTCAGAATAAATGAGACATTATTTAACATTGCAATAATTTCTATAAAATCCAGACCACGCCTCTATTGAGACCTGTGTTTGTTTCTCAAAACGTGTAGCCACACCAGGCTTTGTAAAGGAGACCTGTATCTATTTGGGACCCTGCTTTTTTTTTTTACTTTCACGGTACATCAAAATGGTACACTTGTGTGGTCCATCTCATCTTTTATACACCATGATTCATCATTTCATTTATTAGCACACAGCATATTAAAAAACACCTGATCCAGCCAGTTCTGACACCTGTGCTTTGGCATGTGTAAATTTTGCACTTGCACATGTATTGACCACTGGGGGTAGCAAACACGCCTTGGGCAGCTACGCTACATTTCCATGAGTTCAGAATTTGAATCTCACACAAGAATCGACCAATAATAATAACCACTATTATACAGAGCAAATAAAAAATTTAAATAAACTGAATGTGGCTACAGCATCATAATGGCATCATAAATAGAACTGTGGGGGTGGGCGTGGTTTG